AGCCTGTCTGGGTGTGTAGAGTTCTGAAAGTCAGTAGTTGCTTTCTTTATTGGCTTAAATTTAGGCTGTATACTGCCTACTCCATGGCAGGATTGCTCGCGTGTAGGAGCATGGTGGCATTGTGTGCAGTTTGTTCGCACGAGGAAATAAACTTGCGCGCCACGGAACGTGGAACTGGTGCCGTAGAGTTTTGGTTTGCGAGAAGGGAGGGAGCGCAAGAATCAGTAAACGCTTGTCTAGAAGCAAATGTCGTATATACTCGTAAAGCGCCACGCTCAGTGCAAGACGCGCTCTTTATACCGGTTCCTCATTGTTGATCTCTCACTTGGAAACCGAGTCTACTGAGTGAATCTTGAAGGCCTATCATAAAAGCGCTTTGTTCCTGCGCTCCTTGCCTCAAACAAGTCAGCCGCTCAACTCTGGAGCATTGGCCACACATAAGTTCTGAGAAACGCTGTCGGAAGGTCGAGCCGCACAGGCGTATAATAGATGCTTTCAGGCAGCTAGCATGGGTGCCGCCATAACCGGCCTTCAATTTTTGTTCCCTTTGATACCGTTTACTTCACTTGCTCATTGTCAAAACAGGACAGGTTATTGCCACTTTAGGTGCTACTGCGTCTTTCTCCCCAGCGTAGGCTTTTGTGGAGGCCCTTCAACGCCCGCTTCAGTGGCTCGGCATCTCGGTAAGACGAGTGAAGGTCGGCAATGGCGGCTCAATTTGGTGCGTGTTTAAAGCGTCTATAACCTTACGAAGCGATCTTATTGCTTGATCGCTCGTTCAACTAAAACATTTTCAAAGCTATGCTCTCGCGCCCGCGCCTTTCATTCCGTTTCACATAACAGCGACGCGTTTGACTGTGCTCGACTACGTTGCGAGATCAGGCTAGGGGTGTTTGACGTTTGACAACGCTGCGAGTGCGACCGCGAATCACAGAGACACCCCTACATCCCACGAAGCGTTGCAATTCAAGGACGACGCGGGCAGAAAGTGAGGGAGACGAGAGCGCGTAGGGACGTGAGAACGCCGATTTGTTTTCTTTCTATTGGAATAATTAGTGGGTAGATACAAACCTAGCTGCCTTCAATCCTACTCACTGCTCGAACCCGTTCGAACGCCGAACACCGGCGTCTGGCGTTTGCTGTCCGCGTTCGAACTCTGAGCAGAGACAAAGTTTTGCATCGATCCATTAATCATGCCAATCATGAATTCGGCCCTCTGGCTTCCCCACGCGCTCTCGTTTCCTCCTCTCTATCAGTTTCTCTTTGTATACGGAGAGAAAGTCGTCTGCTTCTAGCGCAGGAGCTGCGGTGACGTCAAATCGACGCCGAGCTCTGATTGGCTTTGATTGAAAGGATAGTGGGTAGACCTCAACGCTAGACGGCTTGAGGTCTGTCTCGCATTTTTTTTTTCTTTCTTTTAGATCAGCCAATAAGAGCTCGGCGTTCTGACGTCATCGCAACCCCGGCAAAGAAGCAGACAAACTTGCGCTCCGCATAGCTTTGGAACCGACTTTAGAAAAAAAATGGTGACTCGCGGTCGCAACTTGTCTTAACATAAGTGCAGGCAAACGCTCTTTCGCTAAGAATTATTTAGAACAAATTCTTTGCTTTAGTAATACGCGTACAAATATTCACTGAAAAAAAGAGGAAATATGCCGAATACCTTTTGAGGAAAAGTGTGTCCTCAATGGTTCCGTTTCCTTTCGTCTTTTTGACACGAATGTTTTCGCTCTTCATGGGCGCGCATGCCGAGCTCTCCTCGGACGTTAATCCGCTATGCGTGCACGCTTAAGGGGCGTTTTGCCCCCCCCCCCCCCCCCCCCCCTTTAGCTGTAAAACGTCTTGCGTCGTCTCCTAGTACGACATTCAAAATATACTCGCGCGCAACATGGGCTCCGATATTTGTTTTCTCTTCTCTTAAAGTGTTTGCTTAATCGGGAAGAGCGCAAATGCTCCTCTGCCCAAGGGCGTGCAACACGAAGAAAGTCTCCATTTCACCAGGTGCGCTTTCTTCCTCCTGGTGGGATTAGCGCGGTTTACGTAAGCGGGGCGCCCGGATTGTTTGGCGTTAATCGCGCCGGAGGAGGAAAGATGGTTTCTTCTGCGTTTGTGCTTCCCAGTGCTGCGTGGAAACTATTAGGATGCAGGCTATGTTACAGGAAACGGCCCGTGCTTATGCGCGCGCGCGGTGCAGTATGGCTTAACAGCGGGCACGCTACGTTAGTCAAGCCTCCTGTTTGCGCGATGCTGTCTTTCGTGCGGCAAGCGCGTGTGTTCTCGGAGGCGAACTGAGCCGATAAGCTGGTCCAGTTATTGCGAAATTGTATTGTTTTTTCTCTTTCGATTTGTCGGATATGTTGATTCGAGGTATAGCGAAAGTAAATTAAGAATTCTGGTGACGCGACCAGGGCCGCGCACTACCAGTAGACATAAAGTTGAGACAGGTGCAGCCCCTTTTTTTAATACGACGTGATGACACTCTATATACGATGCGGAGATATCGTTGTGGAGCCAATGGGGGAAGGACGAGGAAATGACGATAGAACTTCCGGAAATGATGCGGGTGTTCTGGTTACATTTCGACAACATCCTTCAACATCAAGATTATGCAAATGACCCAATTGAGATCTTTGTGCGTTTTTCCCCTTTTATTGTTCCTCGGTCACGTAGTTCCGAGATGTTGAGATGAAGGTAGTTTCTTGTGATGACCTGCGAGGCTTGTGGATGTAAGGTAAAACTCTCTTTTAATTTTTATTATCCTAAAAACAAAGGAAAACGATTCTTGAATATGATTCAATATTCAATTATCCTGAACGCTGCATGACTTCAGCTTAGTCCATTCGTTGTGATAATTCGAAACAAGGATCGTACAATGTGCGAAGTGTCGCTTTCTTGAAAAATGTATAAGTCCACGTTCCTGGAGGAGCCACAGCATTGACAGTAATAGTAGCGCTCATGAAACAGTATACATTTCAATGTCACTATAAGTATGGGGGGGGGGGCGCTCATGACAAAATGCTGTATGAGGGGAGGGGGAAAGGAGGTCCCAGCAAAATAAAAGATTTCGGGGAGGGGGCACGCCCCCGCCCCCCCCCCCCCCTCCCTCCCTTCCTTGCTACGTGCTTGGCATGTGCCAGGATTATGGGTTGTGATTAAACAACATCATATGCCACGTTAACTTTTAGGACTTTACTGACATTTTGAAGGTCAACAACTTTGGTTTGACCCCGCGAATACGGGCGGAACTCCACCATTCCCGACCTATATTTAACCAAAGGTTTTGTTACACAGCGTGTCAACTTTAAACGCAACGTCTAAGCACTTTATGATATCCGAGGAATGAGTCGGAGCAAATTATTAAATATCTCGACCGGATGAGTTCTTTCTCAAAATATTTGAGGCATACCAGTTCGTTACTTATTCAGCGTTAGCTGCCAGGATGAATGAGCACTCTGAGTCGCCGTCAGCTTAAAGACCGTAGGGTGTGGTTTTTTTTTCTTTATGCCCAGCCTTCTTGTTTTCTGATTGGTTCTTGGGCGTTCTCCTCGACTAATGCCGCAATATGATTGGCTTCGGAGCAGTGTTGAGATGTTCGGGGATCGCCACGCTCTGCTGCGTCTCTCGACCTCTCAGCGACTATGAGCAACGCTGGTATCCCCGGAATCGATAACTACGCCATAGGCAAGTCGTCCGCTACAGTTGTACGGGCGCGCCTGATTGGTGCGAAACAAACTGCGGGAGAAAAGCTCCAGATATTAATAAGTCTCGCTACATAAAGGCTCGGTTTTCCTTCGCTGTTGTCGTAAGCAAAACCTATCCATAATGTACATACGTGGGCACTCGTACCGTTTGTATGGGATGCCCTGTCCACTTCACCAAGCAAGAACAATATGTTTCTTCCCGTATTTTCAACCTCGCAAATCTAGATTGCAAAAAAAAAAAAAAAAAAAGCGTTTTTGTTTCTTTACGTTGCATAGACAATTTTAATATCTACATGCCCACACAGTCCTGTTTGTTATCTCCGCAGCCCGGTACGCATCACTTCGTCGCTTTGGAGTACGGACAAAGCACGGGTCATATACACAAATACTGAAAATGGCACCGGCGTAGGCTCCTTTAGGTTACCTCTTCCGTCATCGCCATCTGTTCTCTCGCCACTTTTCCTGTATTCATTTTCACAAATTGCAATTTTCGCAGCCCGTAAGATCTTTTCGTAATTTTTTTAGGAAAACCTCACGCCAAAGAGCGCCACCGAGCGGCACACAAAAAAAAATCTACGGAACCTTTTAAGTTGCAGAGAAATATTTTGTTTTTGTAGGGTATTGTTTTTTGTAGTATTGTGCAAATAGGTGCTGAGGCATTAATAGCAGGTCACGCCAAAGAGCGCCACCAAGCGCCACAAAAAACCAAAAATAGCGAAGCTTTCTAAGTTGCAGGGAAATATTTATTCTTGTATGGTATTGTATCGGGTGTTTCAAGCAGCGGCCAGGCTCTTTAAATCGGCCGCAGAATTCGGTTTTCTAACCTATAGCGCTATGAATTCGTGCAGTGTCGCCCACAGGTGGTGCATTTTTTCTAGAAAATTTGCGAAGAGCGAACTTATGGGAGGAAAAAGCAAATAAAGAAAAAGGCTTAACTACTATGGAAACCCAACGAAGATTCTGGTCTTCAATCCATAGGGCTCCCTATTGTTTGGAGGGCGGTGGCTTCGCTGCGTTTCCATAGGACTTAAGCCTTTTTTTCTTTTTGCACTTTTTCCCCAGGCAAGTTCACTCTTTGCATATTTTGTAGAAAAAATGCACCACCTGTGGGCAGCGCTGCACGAAATCGTAGCGCGATAGGTTAAGAAACCGAATTTTGCGGCCGATTTAAAGAGCCTGGCCGCTGCTTCAGGCGCCCGGTATTGTGTTGTATTGTATTGAACAAAAAAAAATGCTGAGGCATTATATAAGATATTCGCGCATAATTGACGGTCGTGTTCTCGGTCTGTGCCCCCGCAGCGTCCCTGCACCGCGGCCTGGAGCGGCACGACGGCCACCCGCACAAGAGCAGGGAGCTTCTGTACATCGAGTCCCTCATCGAGGGAGACCTCATCCTGCAGGTGAGCTGCTGCCGCCCTGGCACGGGCCTTATTGAACGACGCGGTCGGGAAAGGGAAACGGTATTGTCGGGCATGGGTCGTTGTTGTCTCATTGGAACGACGCTTCGGTACTCATGATGTTCTTGGTCTGGCCGAAGTCTAAACTTTATGAAACAACCATGCAGCGAACAACCTACGAACTTCACCCAGCGGCACGTTGGGTTTGCGCGCGACGCAATATCCACAGTTCTGAGAGAAAACGTCGCCGGATAAAATTTGTCGCTTTTCCTTCTTTTTTTATTTTTTGCTCTATGGAGTCGAGCTTTTACGGTTTTGTTGTCTGGTGTGAGGGCTTTTTGAAGTAGCCGCGGCAATCGGTGTGGTAGCGCGATGAATGAGTCTGACAAAAACAGGGAAATTTTGCGTCCTTTGAAGACCGCTAGATTTAGCGGAAATCATGTCCCACGAGCTAAGCCCTCTCAGTATATATCGCTCCAAGCTGAGCTGAGGTTTTATCAATGTCTTAAGTTACTTTTCATAATGTGCCTGTTTTTGAAGCGGAGTATTGTTTTTGTTTTTTGCAGCATTGAGCAGTGCGGAGAGGGCTGCTCAGTGCTCTGAGTTTACAACAGCAGGGAGTTACAAGGCACAGCTAAAAACTCGCACTGAGAGATGTCAGTGATCCTTGGTCTTGTAAACGTTCGATAACTGATTCGCGAGAACAAAATTATTACGATGTCATTACCCTGAAATCACCGCGAACACTTTTTTTTTCTTATGCTTGAAATGCCACATAACCACTGAATGACTCAAAAATGTATTTAATGACTGTATTAGTTTTTTTGTTTTTTATTTACAGTGGAGTTGTTAAGGGCTAGGTTCCCCAGGATCGTGTCCGGTATGTCGACACAAACCTACCTGGACAGCTACCGCCATCTATAAGCGACGGCGGCAAGCACACAACCAGTATGGTTTCCGCCGTCGCTCCTAGGTGGCGCCAACCTTCCAGCTATAATAGAAGAATGGATAGTTGGGCGCGTTGGTGGGAAATCATCGTGGGAAACAGCGCGAAAGACAGACGGCGACGAAGAAGAAGCACACAGTAGAGAGTTTTAGTAGATCGTTCCCATGACTCCGATAACGATATCCCGATACTCCGCCACCGCCTCCCTTGCGCATGCATAGTATCGTTATCGGGGCTATTGGAGGTATCGGAACGATCTACTAAAACTCTCTAGTGTATCGAGTACAGCTCCGTTGGTTTTCCTTCTTCACGAGAGTGGAAAGGCTGAACAATTTGTTTTATATATTGCCACTTCACGTTTGCAGATAGCGAGCTTACACAGTGTTAATATGTTGTTCTGGACAGGCTATAAGTTGATTTACATACAACTCGAGATAATAAATTTATATGGGTACCCTATCGGTAACAGATTTTAAAAATTTTATGCAACGTTTTAAACAAAACCACTTGGGAGCAATTCTCAAAAGCCTTCTGTGTACGAGCTCTAGTCCAAGAGAGCTCCTTCTAAGCACCCGCGCTCACGTTCGAGTCTCATACCCCGTGACCCTCAACTCCTGAGGTGAACTGGTATGAAATATCTTACGGGTGAACGTCATCCGGGATGTCGTCTAAACTTCGTGTCAGCTTAAGTCTAGACGTAGCCGATGCTACAAGCGCGAGCATGCGGCCCTGAACAGTGCATGCAATGCACGAGCACGCGTGCTTGGCAGGGACGCCGAAAGCCCGGGGCCCGCTATTGTAGCTCCTGCTACGCTCACACTTAAAGTGAAACGCAGTATAGAATATGTAGCCAGAGTTATGTTTATCTCACTCGGTTCGATAAACGAAAACCAAAATGGCTGACCAAAGTTCGCTGAATTCTCGCTGCGCTGCTTTGAAATATCAGTTCAGTTCTCGCAAATTTAAATATTCAAGTTCACACTTAATAATGACGCGTGAGAACGCATTCGTGTTTATATTTAGTGGTGTGTTTTCTAAAAACCGTGTCCCGTCTTTTCTCTCTCTCTCTCTTTCTTTTTTTCCGTAGAAATTGGAGAGAGTGTTAAAGGGCAACAATGCTTCATTTTTGGTTTTGAAAAACAATGCAGTCCTCTTCAGTATCGCCTAGGAAGACCACACGTCAAATATTACGACGCAGTTCTGTCTAAATGTTTCTTAAACGGTCCGGCAAACTTTGCAACTCGCCAAGTTGCCGAAATCGGCTGACTCGAGCGGGCGAATTCAGGCGCAACCAACAGCGCAGTCAAGGCTACGGCATGGGCAGAGCCAACATTGAGCTAAACGTCATCATCATGGCCCCCTTTTGCTTGTTTTTACTCCTGCGATCGAGCGTAGCGCATGACGTCAGCAACGTTGCCTCTCGGCACTCAGCGGTGTCCACGTGATTGGCGTTCGCGCCTGCGCAGCGCGCTTCTTAGGAGCAGACCAACCGCCCGCCGTGGTCCCGCCGTTACCGCCGTCTTCCGCGTCACAATCACCGTCGTCGTCTCACCGTTTGTGATTATTGCCTCTCGGAGTTTCGTCCACACTATGGACACCACGAGCGCAGAGTCGCAGACTTATGCCGCAGTTGTGCAGACGTCGTCGAATGCCGTAGACACCAAAACGTGACGAAGAGTGCGATGCAGACGACACTCGCGCCTGCCGCACGCACGCCCACCCCCATCCCGCCCGACGTTGGGCCGAGGATCACGTAACATCTCGTACCACGTGATGGCCATGTACTTGGCGGCCCGAGGCCAATGTTGCCGGACGGAGCCGAAGTTTCGGTTTCGATTTCCGCTCGTGTTTAAAATTAGATTTAAAAATGTATATACCATTTTTCGCGAATCAAACGACGTAGTGTCTTTTACTAGGGCTTTTTAATTCGAAATCACTCATTATCCCGAAATCTTCGGAATTGAGCGGTGTTGCCCTTTAAGTTTGTTCGGGCTCACGTCACCCTGAGAAGCGCGCTTCTCCGCACATACGCCCTTGCTGCGGAGAAGCCGCAGGTCGCGAAAAATGCCCACGCTGCTTCGCGGTAATTGCGAAGGAATTTCGCGTACTTACGAGATGCGATAGAGCCATTGTTTTCTCGCATTTACGTTAAGCACATTTAACTTTAGTAAGTGGATTCTGTTTTCAGGTTAGATTGTTTTCTACGAGCGGGGAGCCTCAGTAAAAGTGTTTCGTGAGTGTTCGTGCAAACGGCGGCCTTGGCAGGAGGTCGCTTCGCACATCGACCTTTGGTAGCGCTGATTTCACAGAAATGCAGACGTGGAGAACAAATTTGATTATTCTTTAACTTGTACAAACTCTAAACCTAATTTTATGGTCTTTATATTCCGTCAAATATTTACAGAACTTGGTGCGGTCTCCAACTTGATGAGTGTGCATCCTAGAACTGATCCGTTTCTCAGCAGTCTGTCGGTCTAAAAAACTTTATTACACAGGTATATTTCAAAGAGGAAGTTTGAGGTAACCCGGAGGGGGCCACCTCTCAGAAACACTAGGTGGACTTATCAGTACAGCAGCCCATTGGCGACCCCCGCGGCTCGGGCTCGGTCGACCAGGGCAGTACGGAAATGATTTAGGGGGAATAAATACCGATGTTTTTGTTTTCTTCCGATAAAAGGCAGGCCTAACAACATTTCTTTCCGGGCGTGTTGATACCTGTTGAGGACAGTCGGTTTAACGCATTTTCATGAGAAGTTGTCGCTGTGCGCGCATTTTAGTCATACAAACGGCGCGCATCTGAACTAACAAAAAAAAAAAAAGTGTAATAGTTTTGAATCAAAACCAACAGAAGCAAATGCACGGAAATGCAAAAGCTTTAGCTTTACCCGAAAGCTGCTCTAGTGGCAGAATAGTGGCGACGTAAGGGAGCGGTAAAGGGGGGGGGGGGGGGGGGGTTGCAACTGAATAGCGAGAACCTGGCTCTCATTGACAAACAAAACGGAACCAGTTTATAGTCGATGACAGGCTGAGAATGCAGTAGACGCCCCTGCCTACAGAACGAGTTGTCTGCCTTTGAAAATACTACGCCGCACGCTTAGTCAAAGCACAGCGGACGAAAACGAGCGCGCGCTGGAGGCGAAGCTCCTGCTGGGCTCTTAACCCGTCTGCAACTAGAATGCCTGGGCAGAGGAGGAACGCCATAGCCGAATGCGTAACATAAAAAATATTCCGTTGCAGATCCCGTGACCATATTCATAGACGTCACCGTGACATAAAAGCCACGAAAGTTACTGCAGATAGAAGGAACGCACGGCGCGAAGTAACGACGACCTTTACGTCGCCTACTGCGGTGACGGTGCAGCTTTTGGAAAGAAGATTGCCGCATAGCATAAAAAAAAATAAGCGCGGAGGACACCGTGTCTTTCTTTAAGATGTGCACCGTGATGTCGGTTGGCTGCTGCTACTCGTAAAAGGCGGTACGGCACTACACAGCGTCAGAGCGCTGTAACAGGCGGCCACAACTTGGCTGACCGGTGGATCTTATCAGGCGTCCTCTCCTACGCTCGTGAACGTGCTGCAAAGTATGTTGGCTCTCAAACTTTTTTTTCTCTCTCTTTTTAGGACATGTCGATATAGCTTTCTTTCTTTTTTAAACATTGGCGTTTTGTGTTTTGTAATGCTGAAACTCGGTTGTTTGATGGTTGCGGAAAACGATCGCGAACGACGCCACTTTCTGTAAAAGGAAGATAGAAAAAAAAAAGAAGTCGTTCGAAGACGGTTGTAGAAAGGCGCAAGAAAATAAAAGGAACAAACACAGAACAAAAGCAAAAATTTCGAGAAGAATGAAAATGCAAAGGGAAGAAGGAGCTAGCATGCACTGCCCTTTTCGTACCAGTATAGAGGAACAACAACGACGACTTTATGGTGTTCCCCATTAGGGAAGCTGCGTGGTTTCCCCTCCTTTCGCCATGTGGCTCTTACGAGTCGCCCGCGAGGAACGAAAGAAAACTTTGATGACTGTTGCTTTGTTTTCATTGGCATTTTTTCGAGTGTGCGT